CTGTTTTAGTTATAGCCATTTCATCTGTGACTGAAGAACTTCTTACACTGTTACCATATGTTGAGGGAGGAACCAATGAAGTTTGGTACCAAGCCTGATAGCTTGCTATTGCTATATCAGTGTGTATGAAAAGCCAATAATCACTGATATTATGAATTTACTGGGGTGTTTACATAATTTTTGTTTGTTCCATATTTAGGTCCTGTGCAATATTAACAGCCCCAAAAGATGCTAGGAATTTATAGCTGTCATCTAGGCTGAGAAGTGCTAGCTAAAAATCCAAAATGACAATATTTTCAAGAAAAATATTATGATTTGTGAGGTAGACTACCAGAGAGGGCATACATTTATGAGAACACTGCAGGGCACGGGATGAATCATCCACCTTACATTTGTATTGGTAAAAAATTGTACCACAAAAAAACAGAAAGAGAAAAAGAAGGATGTGGTATTTATGACAATTCTACTCTCTAAAAATTGCATCACTTGCCATACACAAAGAATGGAAGAGAATTCTGTGGGGCTGCTTGTTGTGAAGCAGTGGCCTTCACAGGAGGCGAGACAGGAGGCTGGCTTTAAAAAGAAGGATGTTCCTATGAATGCTTGAATTTTTGTAACGCTTGACACATATCTGGACACCTCTGAATAGGAATAGGATCAACAACTAGAAACTCTCTAAGATCTAAGCCAGTTTTACTTGTAACCTCTGCTTCCAGCCTTTAGACAGAGCTTCCTTTTGCATTCTGATGGTAAAACATACATAACCCATCCGGTGGTGTGGGAGTAAACAGGATGGGTAAAACTGACACATTTAGTGTTACTACCTTTATGGAGGTAAAGAACTGAATAAAGATCATGTCCAGACAACCATGCCAGAGATTTAGCCTAAGGCAGAGTTATGGAAATCCAGAGTGAGAAATCTTTGACTGCAAAAGCTGATATTGGCCCATGTAAGAGCTCATACCAGCTGCTGCTGACTTTGGGTATACGTTCTCTGCAGTAAGCACAAAGCTGCATCCCTTCAAAAAGAAACGGTATCTGAAAAGCACTTTGTGTCCTGACAGTGCTTAAGTGCAGCACAAGACACATGACCTGGCTTCCTTAAGCAATCACAGCGTTTAGAAGCTGAATTTTAAAGCTAAGATTAGAGAACACTTCACTGTTTATTCTCCTCCACAACCCCTAGTTAGCTTTTTATGCACCTATACAGGTTATGTCACTAATGGTCAGAATTTACAGATTACCTATTTTCCTCTTACTGGGTACCATGCAACACTTGCCTTACCTGCGACCCTGGTGCAGGAAAGCCATGAAGTATTTTTAATCCTGGGACTCTGCTGCTGGACTCTGTTCCTGAACTCGCACCTCTCGACACTGTTCTCCAACTGTGTCCTCCTGTAGAGTGAAGAGCAGAGGTTAATTTCTTTACATATTAGGAGGGATTAATCTTTGCAACAGCTAGAGCCAAGGTGGCGACCCAAATATTAACTCACTTAAATACAGTTCTTCAAAAAAGCAAACCCAGAGAAACTAAAATATTTGTTTGTACCTACTAGTTTTATATCATGAATAAATGCTATTTATTGCCAGCTGAGCCAGGAAGAAAACCCTCCACCTGATCATTATTTTACTCTGTGAGGAGTAACAAAGGGTACTGCCATGTGGTAAGAAAAGTATGACACCCTTAAAAAAGTTGAAAAACAAGTACAGACATAAAGATTCTCTGTTAGGAAGATGAAGCAGTGTCCTAGAACTGGTAATTCCAATGGATTCCAAACTATGCATGCTTTGGAGGGACTGAAATGTCCTGGAAAAGGTATTGGGCCCTATTGTACTAAAGTGCAGCATCACCTTATTTTCATAATTGGTATTTTGTAAACAAATGGGGACTTAATAAATTTATTAAATGCATGTAAACCAGTTATTTTTTCCAAATTAAGTATGCTGGTAAATATTTATTTATTGTGTTCTCTCTGTAGTTTTATTCTTTTTTACAGATCAGAAGATATTTAAGAGTGGTGTGAAGTAATCTCATTGAAAGGGAAGGTAACTTTCGGTGACTGTGAATAATTACTGGCACTGAAAACCTCATCGGATTCATGTACAGAGGGACACGCAAAAACAGATCTTGTATGTGCCCCTCTGTATGTGTCCTGCTTCTGGGAAAGCTACAGGATCAACTTTGCTTCTTTTTAGCAAATCTTAATGCTTGGCCAAGAGCACTGGTCATTCTGTTCACAAGCAAGGTACCATAAAAAGTGGCTTTGCACTGACTGCCTAAATCAGAAGCAAAAGGCAAAGATGCAGGGAAAAAAGAAAAAGGGAGATAAGGAAGGTGAAATGACCTGTAAGGCAGTGGATGACTGAAATAAGCTCAAACCCATGCCCAAGCTGCTAATAAGGCTTGGACAAGCCAATGTTCCCCTTGGCTGGTCCTGCTGTTTGTGGCTGAGAAAATGAAGGGCCAATACACGACCAGGGATCACGTGTTTCTGTGCTGGTGAAGTCTCCTTTGCCCAGAACATAGCTTCTCCAGAAACCCTGCTGTTGCCACTCAGCATCAAGAACGGAGTGGTGACTTTTATCTAAAACAAAACTTGTATCTAGTGATTTCTGGTTTTGTGCTGAGTATTGTTTTGGCTTAGAGCTACAGCAGCCTTGTAAATTCATAAGTACCACTTGTGTCATGTCTTAAGTTTAAAAGGCATCTTGTTTTCACTAGTCTGTCTACAACTCTTGTTTATTTTTCAAATATTTTCTCTTTAACAAGCCACAACAGAATCCAGTGCATATTATCTGCCCCAGACAACAGGGGATAGAGAATATCTGTATCCTAGCAAGACCCAAGAAGGCCTGCCTTGGGCAGAAGGCAATTCCTGACAAGTAAAACCCGTTAACAGATTTAGTCTCCCTTACGCTTGGCCTAAATCCGTCCTGCACACGCTAAAATTACTGCACAGCTTAGAGCACTGGAGTTACTTCTGCAAAGCATTCCTGAGGCCTGACACATTGGCTCTCCATCTCCCGTGGCTGCACACACCATGCAAGCCCTGGGGACCCTGTTACCACAAGGAGCCCTGTCACCACAGGAGCTTCATGGTGCGCAGACCTCAGAGAGCTCCCTGTACAACTTCTGTTCCTACCAGCCGATATACTCGCGCCCCTCCGGTAACAGTGCCTGTGACTTAGAATCATAGAATCATAGAATTGCTTTGGCTGGAAAAGACCTTTAAGATCATCGAGTCCAACCTTTAACCTAACCCTGCCATCCCACCACTACACCATGTCCCTAAGCACCTCATCTATCCTTCTTTTAAATACCTCCAGGGATGGGGACTCGACCACCTCCCTGGGCAACCCATTCCAGAGCCTGACAACCCTTTCGGTGAAGAAGTTTTTCCTGATGTCTAGCCTAAACCTGCCCTGGCACAATTTTAAACCATTCCCCCTCGTCCTATCGTCCATTACCAGGGAGAAGAGGCCGCCCCCCCCCTCGCTACAGCCTCCTGTCAGGTAGGTGTAGAGGGCGATCAGGTCTCCCCTCAGCCTCCTCTTCTCCAGACTAAACCACCCCAGTTCCCTCAGCTGCTCCTCATATGACTTGTGTTCCAGACCCCTCACCAGCTTTGTGGCTCTCCTCTGGACACATTCCAGCAATGCAACATCTTTCTTGTAGTGACTTGAAACAGAAGAGCTGACTGAGGAGCACACATCCCCACGCAGCCCCTCACCTTCACGGGGCCCGTTCCTACCTCCGCAATGGCCGCAAAGACGAAGCAGCCTCAGGCAGGGGCCAGAGCAGCGCTGCCCCAAGAGGTGCCTGTGTTTGGGGCGGCCG